TTTTTTTTTTTTTTTTTTTTTTTTTGTTTGTTTGTTTGTTTGTTTGAAAAGAGTTCACAAAATGAAGGGGAAAATGCTGATTATGTATGTGGACTTCTAGGGTGTTCCTATAAATAATTAATTAAGACTTTGTCACAACTAAACAGAAATAAATTTTAAGCCATAGCCTTAATGTTCAAGCCTGAAGTGCACCTTCGCAAACAAAAATACTCATGGATTGTCAGCTTTATGAGACTTAACTTTTTTTAGCTCCAAATGTATTGGGTTGATCCAGTCATTGGACACTGCTGCAAAAAATATCTCATTAGAAGAGCTGTATAATAAAGATTGTTGCAATGAAAACAGGAAACATGATATGTTTGAATGCCTCCTCAAATGAGCTCTTTTTTTTTTAATTAAAACATAAAATATAACTGAAAGTACACTTTTCATTTTCTTCAGTATTTTGATCATTGTCTGGACTGAATAAGCAAAATGTCACTATTCTATACAACAGAATAGCATGATTTAGAATCAAATATATGTGTGATGGAAACAAACAAACAAACAAGCAAGCAAAATAACACAAAATAACCCCAAGGAAATTCTGCATTTGCGTTGCTGCTGCTTTCTGCCTGGAGGAATACATGTTTAATGCAGACAATACTTGGGTGACTTCCCCTTCTGGTAACATCAGCTGCACCCTTCTGGTGTACACCGGATGAGAGTGATAATGATCTAAAGCAGTAATTGATTTTTTTTCCTCAGAATACCTCCAGTCATTTTGAGCAAGTGACTATGATAAGACAGATTGATCCCTCATCAGTTCTACAGTTGCTACAGGTCTCCCAGAAAACATTTGTAAGTTAGGTAGGCAGACTAGGATATAATCTTCCTCTTTGATCTCATTGGGCGGAGGTGACACTCTTGTTTAGGATCAAGGCCATTACCCAGCCCCCAGTCATACTCAGATCAAAGACTGGCCGTAGGGCATAATCAGACATGTCCAAAAGCTTTCAAGAGAGTACTTTAAGATTTTCAAAGCCCAAAGGAGGTAGGACACAATTTGGGCTGCATTTTGGTAAACTCTTTCTTAGGGACCTTAAGCTTAGTAGCCATGCAGTCTGCACATACAAGCATCTGCAGTTGCAACAGATCCTAGAAAACTTCCTGATTTACACAAGCAATCTCACTGTATAGCTCATGTGGCAAAACGAATATGAAAAGGATGCCGGGCAATGTGATCTGAGGGAAGGGGAGAGGCTCCATGACTAAAGGCTGTGACTATTAATGCAGAACAGTACAGACAATTACTATGCACTGAGATAGATGACAGTATCCACAAATGTATTATATCCACACCAACAAACACAATTACAACTTGTATTTCAATAGCTAGCATGAAAACCAATGCTCTTTTTAGCAGGACAAACACACCAGTAAAACATGGCTGTTTTCCCCAACAGAGTGAGTAGAGACTACATGCAGGATTCCATGCAGGAGGTCCTTACCTCCCACACATTACCCCTTGCACATGTACCTCAGAAACCACTCCCTGCAAACCTGTAACTTGCTCATCTACTACTTATTTTCTCACAAAGAAACACAGTTAATAAAAATCTAGCCCTGGTCTACAAAAAAAGAAAGCTGTAGTCCAAACTTTCTCATATTATGAACTTGGGTAGCAAAGGAAATGAGAAGAGATGCTCACAATTAGAGCTGTTTCCAAGTATTACTCTGTGTAAACCTCAAATGTTGGATTGGGAAGGTTGAGGAAAGAACAGAACAAGTAATTTTGTTTCACAAGCTACATATAATCTCACAGCTGCTAGCACCTGTAAGGTGACACATCTCGTTTCTGGATATTTTCAGAAAGGTATTCTATTTTGCAGAGCAGTGAAGCAGTACAGCTAATACCTACCTTACCTTTTAGCTGAAATATTTTTAAATAGCTAACAACTGTTTCTGGAGAACTAAGCCCTGACAATGTAGTTTTTAATGCTGTTGAACGTGTTTTAGATCTGTTTGATGTTATTAACAACTTTTCATAACTGAATAATAGGAATAGCACAATTTATTTTTTTCCCTCCAAAAAGACCACAAGAAGCTTATTACACAGATTTCTTCAACAAACTCCACATCTGTTAGCTACTTTTTCAGGAGATTGAAAATATTATTATTAGTCACCAAATTATTACAGCATCACTGTACAGTGCACAGAAGAAACTATGAAATGAAACTGCTTCACTGTCATGGAAATTAAAGTAAGGAGCAAAAGTAGTAAGAAAAACTATGGATATAAATATCTATAGTCAATATGTATATTGACTGTGGATTCATAGATTGATATTTCTTCCACCTATCTGCCTAAGATCACTACAGATGTTATTGTACTTACCTTGAGGAAACCAGCTCCAAACAACTCCATGACTTGATTTCTACCATCTAAGCTGTATGAATTTTAAGTAATGAATTTTAAGAATACTTACAGTGTATCCTATAAGGTCTTTATTCTCTTGGCAACTTAACCTTTTCCCATATTCATATTTACCACTGTAATTATAATGATCAGTGACCACACAACTACCTTAAAATACTCGATGGAAGCAGAACTGCGATAATCCTTTAGAGGATGCACACCAGTTTAGCAAATAAAGTACCACAAGCTTTGCCACACCACATTTCAAGCACTTTCCCTCTGTCAAAGGTAAAGACATTCTATACCTCTCTTACAACAGGTAAGAAGGTTCATAGAGAGGTCTTGTGAGGAAGTAGTATGATTAGGAATTAGTAGAAATGTTAGTGATACAGAAATATGAAAACCAAGCAATGGAATAAAAAGTTTACGTGGATTTGGAGAAGTAAAAGCAAGAATGCAGAAACTGTAGCTGCCGTGGAAGTCAGCCTTTACCATTATCTATTTTTTTACGTTAAGAGAAACGTTAAAACGAAAAGGAAATAATTTCACATGAGAAAAGCTTATCTGACTGCTACCCACAAACACTGTTTAATTTGTAACTGTTTAATTTCACCTTCTGATCTTTCCTGCATTGTAAGAGAACATCATGGAACTTCAAAAGGAATCGAGGGGAAAAAAAAGCACAGAAGGCTTGGTATTCCCTTACAATGGGCACTGTTTTTCATATGCAAAACAATACACTGACAAAAAGTATGTTTAAAGAGCATTAAGAAGAAAAAAAACTGCTATCCCTTGAATATAGTAAGCATCACCAAGCCATTACAATGACAGTCTGGCTTTCAAAGGGCCCTATAAAACAGGCAAACAAGCCTAATAGAGTGCAAGAAATTCAGGTCATTGTGAAGAACCCCCTTTGAGAGTGTTAAAAGTAGCTCTGTATTTTGCCCAGAATACTAGGAGAATACTAGATAAAATAATTTAAAGTTCTATTAAAAAAAGCAATTTGTTCATTGTTTTTAAGTAAATAATGAAAAACATGCCTTTCAAAATCCTAAATCTTCCAAGCTTTTAAGAAAACCAAGTAACGATGTAAATGAAATCAAATCCCAAAACCCAAGCAAAGGAACAGAACAGTATCAAAAAAGGACAAAATGAACTTTAAAAGATTACAAAGAACTCTTTGATACCGATCTCAAAGCTTAATAGGGATTCTGAAAATTTGTGGTAAGTGACCACATACCTACATCTGATTATAGTTTCTGAACAGTGAGTTTAAAAAAGGAGCAACTAAGCAGAGCATATCATGTACTATTACTGCATTTGCACCATTGGATCTTTTCGGATGATAAACCTTTCTCCCTTCAGCTACATCTCCCTGAAGATCGAAAGAGCAATCCCTTTCCAGTCACACTTCCAAGACCACACAGTCCCCAGTATTGCTCTGACCATGTTAAGGCAAGCTCTTCTTCCTTGTTTCTTGCTCTAAAGATCATAGAATCATAGTATCATTAAGGTCAGAATCTCAAAGGCCATCTAGTCTGTCCATCTACCATCAGTGTTGCCCACAAAACCGTGACCATTTAGTAAGACACCCACATGCTTTCTGAATACCTCCAGGGACAGTGATTCCACAGCTTCCCTGGGCAGCCTGTTACAGTGCCCAATCACCCTTTTGGAGAAGCTTTTCCTAATATCCAACCTGAAATTTGTGCTATGCCTTCTAAAAGATAGAAATTCAACCTTGTTTGGCACCACAGTGATTTCCAGGTCCTTCTGATATCCCAGATCTGATGCACATTGTCTTTGTGCCTCTGCATGCTTGGAAGACAAAAGACTAGGATGTTCTAAATGGAAGAAGGAAATTAAGGGAGGAACAATAAGGACAAAGAGAATGGATCTGCTGGAGGTCATGAAGGTAGAAATATAATCTAGGAACATTCAGGAACATCTACTGCTTTTGTAGAGAGAACTAAACATCAGTTTGTAATGTTTTATGAAGTTGAATCACCAAATTTAAGAAATCACATGGACAATAAAAAGCACAATAAGGAATGAATATTTCACTTTTGAAAAGTGGATCTTGGTTTTTCACATGTCACAATGGAGCAGACTTCTCTCATTACTTCTTGAAACTCGCTGCTCTTCCAACACAACACATGCAGTCTTCAACATAAAGAGCTCCCCAGAACCTCTATAAAAATTAGCAGTCTTCCTCTGTCAGAGGAGCTGTGAGGGACTGACACTCCACAGGAATAAGGTGAACTAAAAATGTAGTTTGCACAATCCCTTTTTCCACCTCTACTGTTTTCTAATCTTTATATAAATTGTTCTGCACATGCTCACACCTGTGTTCCGTTGTTCCCGTGTGCTAATTCCTACTTTTGTCTTCCCTCCATCTTTCATCCCTTTCCCTCATATAGATGAGAAGTTATTTAGCCCTGGCTAACATATCGTCTAGTATGGCTTTCTAAAGCTACAAGTCCAGGCTGAGACAGCAGGAATTCACTAACTTCAAAAACTCTTGCTGAAGTGGCCACAAGTAAAAGGAATTTGTATACAACAGTGCCATCTTCAGCTTCTACGGGAAGCCTGCAATACTTATAGGATGCTTGATGGAAAGAGAAAAAAAAAATGAGGCAAAGAAGTAAAACCACAGTCCTAAAGCACAAGGTATTCTTTTCTGTAAAAAAGTGTAACTGCTGTCACCAGCTAACACAAGAAGGGCAGTCCTCATTCTGATCTCAGTTTTGATTTAATAACAAACAACAGCTCACAAAACCTTAACTGCCATAGCAGAGGAATTCTCCTCTTCTGAGCTCCTTTGAGGAACAGAACTGTTAAATTGTATGAGAACATTATTATATATGAGAAAATTATTGCTTAGCTAGATCTTATTTTTGCAACTAAAGCAAAAAGAGCAAGCTGTTCTATTTTTCGTATTTGCTCTAAAAAAAAAAAAACCCAAAGAAATGCTATAGCGTTCCTAAAGACAAAATATTTCCTCAGTATGAGTTAAAAATATATTCTTCCCCATATCACCTTCAGAATGCACGCACAGCCATTCACACACATTGACAGCCACTCACCTACTGCATCTGGCAAGCCTTCATACAGTCCCAACATTTCACTTTGTTGTGTTAAATAAAAATCATCTGGTGCTTAGAGAAAACATAGTACAGAGACAAAATTGCACTTAGACCCTAGTTTCCAAATAATAGTTATATGTCTTCATAGAATTCTGCTGCTGCAAGCAAAAATTAGACAGAAAACCACCACAGAATCATTCTGTATGCTAAGCCTTCATCTCACCTTTTGCATTTAAAATCTTCTGGATTAAACTGGATATTCATGATTCCATAATTACTTTCATCGCCTCCTACAGGAATCAAGAGAGGCTTTGTATCCTCCTCCATATCTGATGAATATGCTTCTTTCTTCTAGACTCTGACAGTTATTCTGAGCAAAAGAAAGAAAACAAGACAAATGCAGTTAGGTAAGCTATGTATCTGCAATGAATTTAAAACTGGCAGTTCCACAGGTTCAGAAGCTGCTGAGGAGAAAACAAAATTCCTTCAGTTTGCTTCTGGGAACTGTCATTTAGTAATGCAAACATCACTGGTCAAGCACAGCAGGCATAACAATTTCAAAACACCCTCCACATTTAAGTAAAGTGTTCAATAAATCATTGTGCTCTGATTCTTCTACAGCAACAGCCAATATAAATTAAAGCACTGTGATGGATGCTGCTTTTACACTGGGATTGAAAAAAATTTGTAATTTGAATTTTATCTATTTATTTATTTATTTTGAGCTACCGTAGCAAAAAACAAGTCCACCATGTGGAAAGTAACATTAAGTACTTTTATGTGTAGGTCTTATTCAACTTCACAGCATAAGACTCCTTTCCAGTTCCCACTGTTCCACTGGAAGACTCCTGTGATTTTTGAAAGAGCTGTATTTGCAATTAGCAACAGAACAGCTGAGAACAACTTATCCAGATTATGAGAGACTATTGTTTCAATAAATTTCTTCAAACTTTACAGCAAATACACAGTTTTCCAGTGTATTTCCCAGAATAAAGATTGAATTATAGTGGTGTATCATGTCCATGTCCTTTGAATTAAAGACAACAACTGGCTTAATAATGCATTAATAATTATGTATTGCATGCATTCAGAACACTCCAGGCTAAACAAAAGGAAGCAGGCTGCTTTTAAGCAAATGGAGTTATATTTTCTTCAACTGAATTGTAGACCTCACATGGGACTTGATGCAGTCTCATGTTCACATGAACAAACATAATGATTTAACAGCTCTCACACTTGCTACCTGCTGAAATTCCTCAGCCAGGACATATCTTTCAAGCAAAAATGGTAGAGGTTTCTGCTTTTCCAGTGCAATTGTTTCCTGATATTTTGTATGGTAGACAGGCTGGTGGAAAGATAAGTGGGAACTAGAGATAGCAAAAGATCAGAAAAGGATGGCACTGAACGGAACAATAGAATGAGCTGTTTTAAATTTACATCAGGCTTCTTGTCTACCTGGACAAGCATGCCTGTGCAAAGGAGTACAAATGATGGCATTTCATCCTATAGGGATGCCAGTTCCTTCATGCCTTCAGCATGCATAACACTACAACTCATGACATACAAGATTTGAATTAAGTCTTTTAAGTTTAAAGGCATGATTTTATCTTTTTCATATTGGCAGTGACACAGATCACAAAAAGCGATCAGATAAAATAAGACAACTGTACAAGCATTCTTTGCAGTCCGTGATAACACTACCTTTTCCTCACCCTTCATTTTTGCTGTTGCACTCCCCTTTACTCCAAAGTCCTTCCCTTCTGCATCATCCCTGTTACTTCTTTGGCTTCATTTGGAATGTCTTAAATATTCTTTTTGTTTTACAACCTTCTGGTGACTCCCACCTTTCACATTCCTGCTCATTTCCTCTCAATTTTCTGCCTCTCCTATACACTGTCAAAACTGCTTTCCAATTTGCCCTTAACAACCACTATTTACAAAGAGATTTCTTAATTGACAGCAATATTTTAATTTCCTTTCAGATAACACTATTGCTTTCCAAATCTCATTTATAGCTTCCCTCTTGATCATTTCTCTTCTACTGATTTCTTATATAATTTTCTATAGCTCTATATCACCTCTTTTCTCCCTACTGACTACCTTCATGACCTGTATACTCCCAATTTAACTCATATCAGTGCACTTCTTCTAACTGCTTAATACTATTGAAAGAAAATCAATGAGATTAGAGACTTCATCTACTGCTACAACTATCCACCCGTTCCTCTGTCATTCCCAAGACCCTCTGATTGCATCTTGAGAAAACAGTTTTTATGGCTTTATTTTTGTTGCTTTTAATGGTAATCTCTACAGCTCATAGCTTCTTTTTTTCTGTGTAAAACTTTACTGGAAGTCTCAAGTGGAAGACTGATAATCCAGTTAACTGTTCCTTTTTATTCCGTTCTGTTGTCTTTTTCAGCTTAACATCCTGCAAACTTTTCCCAAACAGGTACACCCTTACCTCAGGAACTGAGATCCCTCCCTTCTGTGTTTTGCAATCTCTTTTGTTTGAGTTTAAATCACACTCTGGATTTAGCCAAAACAACACAGATTAAAATTTAAATCTCTAGTGGATGGACTGGAATTGGAAACAAATTCAAACCGCAACACTCATCAGTGAATTTAGCCAGAATTTTCCAGAAGACTGAGCAACTCAGATCTTTTCCTTCCTCGGGGCTCTGATTATGGTGTGAATGAAGTATCGCTTCATACATCACTTCCCTAAAACCTCTTGCAAATAATATATTTGTGCTTTATAATTCAATCTGAAAAAAGCAGAAAACAATGATCACCAGTAAGACTTTCTCTGCACTATGGCTACAAAGGATCCAGAACACTTTCAAATATTCCATAAAGAAAAGCAATCCTTCCAAGACATAGCATGTACCAAGTTAGGCTTGAAAGCATAGTTTGGGGTATTTGCCTCTTAAGAGCCTATTTAAAAATAAACCCTTTTCAAAAGTCTAGCTTGTAAGTGCTTATTGTTCAGAATAGATAAAAGAAGCTTATGACCAGCAAATTAACTACTTCACAAATAGATGCAGATATGAAAACTGTATAATATCAAAACTGTATGATATGACAACTGTAGCCAGAACCAGTGTAGCTTAAAAGATAACTGCAGGCAAAAGAACAAAACACAGAAGAAGTAACCTGATTAATTATTGTTTAATCTAATGCCTACTACTCCTTGCCTGGATTGCACTGCCATTAAATATTTCTTATACACGGGATTACGCTGGCTGTGATATCCAGACTTATTGCCTGACCATTTCCACTACATCAAATACTTCTCTCCAGCTTGTTTTAGTAGTGTTATAGCTACCTGGAGCTCTTATACTAAGAATCTGACCTACGCTCACCTAGTCTTGGAGTTTTATCTTTTAAAAAAACTTATGACAGACAAAATTCTGTACACAACCTTCCAATCATTTATCACAACCGTCATGCTACCAACACAGTCTCAATAATCATTAAAATCTAAAGACCTACAAATTCAAACACCATGTCAGTGTCATGAATGGTGGTAAGTCTGCACAGACTTGTCCTCTTCTGTTCATAATTCTCCCACAACCATCTGAAGCACTGTATCAGAAATCCATCAACAGGTAACAAGCAAATGAGGATTTACTAATCCAGGTTTTTCTGCTGCTGGTAAAGAAACTGTGAAACAATACCAACAGGTACACAAGTCCCACTCCAGGCTACACTCTGGATGACTTACAGGTGGTATTCAAACCAGAGGTGAACTTTCATTAATGTTTTGCTCCTGCAAACTTATGCTTTCTCTACCTCCAGTTCTCCTGGTTAGAAAGCCTGAAAAGCTTCAAGAAGTGAAAATAATGAATCACCAGATTGAGAACTCTCATTCTAGCCTGGTGATGCTGTGATCTAGTCTTTGCAGTGGAGGACAAACACACAGTACAATTTGCTTGTACTGTGAATCTATGCCAGCACTCAGTTCTGCTCCAGGCACATGTGTCAACACCTTAAAATGAAACACCCATCCGGATGGATCAGTACAGGCTTTCCGCTTAGGCCATGGAAAGGGGTTACCAAACAAGTATACACCACAGCAGACAACTGCGTTGTTAGTCAGTTATCCTGGTTATCCCACAAGCTCAGACCATGCTTAACTGGTTTGTAGGACTCTTCTTTACCAGAGAACCTTCCTGGGAGAGTAGGGGAAAGAAGGCAGGGAGGGGAACCACTAGCACAGCCTCCACTGCGCCATCCAGTGTCTGTGCAGCTAGAAATGGTGCTGGAAAAACAGAACATGTAGTTCTGAGATCTATTTACACAACAGCTCCATGTTACCAAAAGCAAAACTGATGCGCTATGGATGAATAAAGGGCAAGGCATAAGTCTCAAGTATACTGCAGGCTATACACACAGAAACTGTGAGAAATAAGAAAGCTCTACCCTGAAAAAAGGGAATTTCAAAGCAGAATAGAAGAGCTTCCAGGTTCCTTTTTTTGAGGTAACAAGCCCTAGGTTGGAAGGTGCTGAAGAAGTGAAAGTAGTGACATACATTCAGAGCTCCTTAAAACAGGGACAACTTGACACAAGTCAGCTTGTCCATATTCTCATAGGACTGCAACAATTGAAAACTAAAACATGTGAACAGTGTCAAAATAACGTCTGCTTTGTTAACAGTGCTTGCAGATACAGGCTGCATTACTATTAAATTTCTACAAGAGCAGTTCTGAAAGTAATGCCTTCTATTTTATGATCTTGGCCCTCAGCAGGCACATGTTGATGACATAACAGTACAGGATGAACCTTCCCATCAATGTAATATTCCTTTACATGTTGTTGCTGCGTGACACATGGCAGCAGAGGGGCAGCCTGACAGAATGCTGTGTGACATGGAAATGCATGAGCGCATGTGGCACTGAATTCCTCCATTTGGAAAAAAGTGGTGCTCACTGACATTTACAGACACTTGCTGCACGTTTCTGGAGCCCAAGCAGTGGGAGTGAGCACAGTGAGGTGGTGGGTGCTGCATTTCAGCAGTGGTGACAGTGACAGCAGGGCACCTTCACTGTTTCATATGTTTATGAATGTGGCACGCAGGCTCTTGTTCATCACTGGCAAAAATGCAGAGCTACATGTGCTGACTATGTTGAAAAAAAAGTGTTTTGTAGCTAGGAGCATCCTCTATCAAACAGTATATTGTGCTTTCTGTATCTGTTGTAGTTGCCACGGAAATAAATAGGAGGCAGTACTTTTGGAGCAACCTCTTCAGTACCTCAGGCTGAATCAAGGGGCACACAACTTCTGACAGATGGCGTCAACGTAAAATGTAGAAGAAATTAAACAAGCTTATCTTCAGCAAATAAGGAAGCTATTATTTGGACACCCATATACGTTTGCGCAGATTCTAAGAAAATAGTTACAATCATCAGAACGTAAAGAAGTTAAACAACTTAATGATCCCACCACCACCGTTAAGGAAACAGGTCTCCGGGCCGTCAGCACGGAGCCAGGCTTCCCGCCGACTCGCGAGCTGCCTCTTTGGCAGCGCTCCGCCCCGCACGGCGCTCCGTTTCGCTCGGCTCCCCGCACGCGGCTTCAGGCCAGCGGCCGGCGAGGCCCGGCACTCACTCAGCCCGTGCTGCCCTCTCCCTCCGCGCGGTCCCCCCTCGGCCGGCGGCACGCAGGGCGCGGCTCAGCCTGTCCCGGCCGGCGGAGCGAAGCGGCCCGCGGCGCACGGGGCTCCCCGGCCTCGCTCGCCGCCCCGCCGCCGGTGAGGCGAGGCGAAGCGAGGCGAGGCGAGGCGTGGCGGCGGCACCCCGGCCCTCCACGCGAGCTGCTCCGCTGCGCTGCCGCCGGGACCCCCCTGCCGGCGCGGCCTCCTACCTGCGGCCCCGGCAGCGCTCCGCGCCGACAACAGGAAGCGACCCCGAGCGCCGAGCCCCGAACTACGCTTCCCGGCGAGCCGCGCGGCGCCGCCCCGCGCTGCCAGCCTGGGCCGGGGCTGCTGGAGGCGGGGAGGTGCTGCGTCGCGTCTCTCGCCTTCAATCTTTGCCTTTGCAAGTGCTGCGACGATGCGGAGCCGTGCGCTTTGACATATTGTTCACAGCGATGCAAAACTGCAGCGTAGTCAGCACTTAAAAGGCACAGGCTGGAGCGCTGGCCTGCAGCGTTTCGGCTTGCCTGGGCTGCATTCCGTGAAGACGAATTGTCTTGGCCACGTATATAATATACAATCTAGATAATGAATAGAAGTAACAAACTTATATATATATATTTATCTATTAAAAACTATTAAATACAGAGAGCAACAGAAAGGTAAAACAGGTGGGATATTTGACCTTGTTTTTGTAAAAGAATGGCAATAGTCTGGTTCCGCGGCAGTGGCTGGAGTTCTTAGTTCTCAAGGTGTTGTCAGAGATTTTTGATGAAGGGTTGCTCTTCCTGTGCTTCATCCTTGAAAATGGTTGTGCGCAAATGTACGTACTGCAAAAAAAGTACTGCAAAAAAGTGGTAACATGAATGAGGCCTGGTTGTGAAGTTGGGAATGTTTTCCTCTTGTAAGAGCACTTAACAAAAGTCTGGCAAAAAGACAAGATCAGATTTTTCTTTGAGATGAATATCTGATTGTATCTCTATATGTACCCTTTGAAAATTTGCAGGTAATGGATTTATGTTGACTGAAAATGGAGCCGAAAATACACAAAAAAATTGATGAGCTTTTTCTTTTTTTTTAATCTTGAAACCTATTCTCAAATTCCGTTATCAGCACAAGAAGCACAGCTGCTTGTTTTTCACTCTTCACAGGATTGGGTCTAGCCAGTGCATTTAAATGCATAACATCATTTGCCATAACTTGAGCTTGCCATAATGAAAGTTTCATTTTGAAAGCTGTTATGGTCTGAAACATAGCATGAGTAAGATGATTTTCACACTGACAATGCATGTTTAACTCATTTCAGTGAGAGCTCAAATCCATCAAAAAAGCTAAATCTGTGAACCATTTTTCATGTTCAACTTCTGGCACAAATTTTTGTTTTGATTCCATACATGACTAGATTTCATTTTGCAAATCATTAAATCTATTGCCAAAACATGCAGTTTTAAATCAGCAGCGTTACTGCCCAAATTTGCGCGAGCACATGTAATGCGACAGAGTTCCTGTCCCACTGAACAGAGACAAAACACAGGAGTTGGCCTCAACAAGCTGAGCAATATTGTTCAGCCCAAGCAGTGCCCTAATACTTTCCCCGTTTCCCACCTCACCCATTTTTTCATTGGAATCAAATACATAAAGTATAACAGCCTGGCACCATCTCAGCTGCCATTAAGTAGCATGTGCTGCAACAAGATGTCTACCACACAGTCTGCTCTGAGTGGTGGGGGGACTCCAGTGCTATCAGCAACTGTGACACAGACATTGACACTGACCAAGGTCCATCGGGTGCCAATGGTTCACACTGGGATGTTATCACGGAACCATGGAGGTTGGAAGGGACATCTGGGGGTCATCGCATCCAAACAACTGTCAAAGTAGGTTCCCTAGAGTAGGTTGCTCAAGAACTGTTATAGAACAGTTATAGCACTGTTGCTCGCAGAAAATCACTAATTGGTAAGGTTAACTTTTTGGTTGTTGTTCCCAGTTAAACCAAGGTGGGAACACATCCTTTTTATAGTTGTACTGTAGGGATATTTATAGATCTTGCTAGGGAAAACTGAACTGCGTGCAAGGAAGATGGCCCTGACACAGCTTTCTCACATGAGAAAGCTATTTTGAAACAAGCTCAGCACATATCCCAATCTGTACTTCCTCAAACACAGCCCAAACCAATAGCAGGGCCAAGCAGCAGCACTGCTCCTTCAAGGAAACTGCTGCATAATCTGAATTTCAGACCACAGGAGGAAACAAGGCAGCAGACTAATGACTTGTCACCCTGACTCTCAGCTGTGTGCAATCAGAGCCGTTCCAAACTCTGCTTTCTGCAGACCTTCCTTCACTCTCATCTTTTGCACCTTTGACACTCTTATTATTCAAGTACTCTGTGGCTTTTGGTTATTTGAAGAATTTGGTCAGTCACAAGTCTGCCCACCTGCTATCATTATTAGTTTGAAAAGCAATGGAAACACCACCTGCTGATGCTTTGATTGATTACAACCAAAACACACAAAAGCAGAGATGTGGGAAGAATTCGACATTTTGATGATATGAGAAACTAGTCCCACCCTCGAAATCCACCTTCTGCATCACATGCTATGAGAAACCCAAGTAGTTATAACCATAGCAGACATACCGCTTCTATTTCCTTATCTTCTTTGTCATTAATCACGCACCCTTGGAAGATTTTTGCTTGGAAAAAGGATTTATTGCAAGAACTGCAATTTGTTAACAAAGAAACATTAAATAAATGTGTAAATTCTCCTGCAGTCCCTTTTATTAAAGCACTACCTTTAGAAATGCCTTTAAAAAAGAGCGTTCAGTAGCTGCCTGCATTGCACTGTGCTGTCACCACTGTGCTTTCTATTCTGTGGCACACAGACTTCTGAGCAAAGCACGTATTCTGCCACACATCTGGGTAGTGCCTTGGAAAATGGGAACCCACATTCACTGAGGCCCTCCTCAGATGAGTCCTCCCTTTGAGAACAGCAAGGTCTCTTGGGTACCTTCTCATCTCCAAGCCAAATAAGCTGAGCTCCCTCAGCTTTCCTTCATGGAGAGGCTCCAGCCCTCTGATCATCACTGCAGCCCTCCTCTGGACCCGCTCCAGCAGCCCCTCGTGCTGGGGCTCTAGCCTGGACGTGGTATTGTACGTGGGGCCTCACAATGGCAGAGCAGAGAGGGACAATCCTCTCCCTCAGCCATTAATTTTGCACGTGCTTAATTTTGTCCATATTTTTTGCAGCAGAATAGCCCACGTTAGTTGCTGTGTCACACAGCTGCATTCACTAGGTCTCTGTGAAACAAAGGGTGCTCCCACAGCCACTGCAGCACATGAGGAGCCACGCAGGTGTTCCGATGCCTACAGAACAGAGAATGAACAGCCACGCCCTGGGACAGCCGACCCGCACCGCCTGTCTTCACCTTCTGCTCGCACTCCCCAAGTGCCCCGAAGCGGAGACAGGAAAAGCACCGCCCGCAGCCTCACCTCCTTCCCGCCCAACGGTATCGCCCAGGCCGCAGCCGCCCACTAAGAGCGCTAGCGGCACCTTCTCACCCCACCCTCACCGCGCGCCCCTGGCGGCCCTGGCAGCTGCTGCGCATGCGCTGACTGACGATTCGCGCTCCCATTGGCTGGCGGTCGAAGCACGGCCGGGGCACGCGGTGGCGGCTATATAAGGCGTCTCGGGAGACAGCGCCATGTTATTTGGCGCGGAGAGTGAAAGCCGCGGGCCCGGGTAGGGGTGTGCGGCGCGCCTCGGAGCACCGGAACCGCAGCGGAGCTGGGTGTGGGGCAAGGGCAGTGCGTGCCGGGGAGGGGTGCGTCGCGTGTCCGCATCGCGAGAGCCGTCGGGATAGTGGCGTCTTGGTGAGGGGTGCTGCTAACCTGCTCCTGGTCCTGTAGGTGAGCTGCTGGCGTTCGCTATGGAAGAGGACTGGGACACGGAGCTTCTGGAGCAGGAGGCGGCGGCGGCTCCCCAGCAGCGTTCTGAGGAGCAGGCGTGGATGGTGAGTCGTGTCCAGGGCGGGGCGGCAGGGAGCGGGGCGCTTGGCTGGCCTACACTGGGGAAGAGGAGGCCGAGGGGCCACCTCTGTGCTCCCTGGAGCTCCCCGAGCGCTGCGGTGTGCGGAGAAGGAGGTGCCGGGCTGTGCAGTGAGAGCCGAGGGCAGGGAGCTGACCGCGGAGGGAACGGCTGTGCCTGAGGTGTCAGAGCCTGGCGTGGGCTGCACGGAGAGATGACGGTCTTATGTCTAAATGACTTATATGCACTCTTGCTGTTTTATTATATGGCAGCTAAATGCTTTGGTGTGAAGTAAAGAGTGAGATAGAGGAGTGTAATGAAAGACAGCTAAATAATATTTTACTATTTGTGGGATGAATGAATATCAGAAGAAACTGCTATAAATTTCAGGAGGACCTGTTAGGAATGTTTGATAGTTGGCATTGGTCTTACAGGTGTTACAAATGAGCCTTGAGGAATGGAGGGGTAAGGAGAGACAAATAGGTTATCCAAATGGGTGCCAAGCTAAAAGTACAGTTGCCTAAAAGAGGAGTAGTAGCATGTAGTATCAGAATGATGATTTTGTTGGTTTGAGGTTAGTTTCCTGTAATGGTTGGTAGCCATATCAGGAAAAGTATTTCAATTGTAGTAAAATAAAGAAAACATAATCTGGAAGTAAAAATGTTGGTAACTTTTTGATGTTCCCCTATCACTTGGTGCTTTGGCCTAGTAATACATCTCTAACCTGTATTAAGCAGGAGAAATTTAAACCCAGGCTTTGCTGGAAATAAAACTTTATAGTGGTACAATGTGAAAATTAGGTGCTATTCTGAACTGTTTTGGATGGGGTATCTGAATCTTTGAGTAAATTCAGAGACTGACATCTTTAAAATACTTAAGGAT